CAGTTTGAATCCCTGAATAAAAGCATATGGCGAATCAATTTTCAGTCAATTTCAAATTTCATAAAAATGTCTTTCAGTAAATGATATAAAGTCGAGAGTTCCCCAAATCCCACGGATCCCTTATTTCTCTAAAAAATACAAAATTCCTAACAAATTTTGGATAGAGACCACCGCCCAATATCAATATACATTATTTATTTTATTTTTTTTATATAATTTTAAATCAATAAAATCCATTAAAAATACATTATCGGGGATTCAGAATCAATTATTATTATTATTATAACATATATTTTTTTTTATGAAAATATCTTTTTTAATTTTCAAAAAAATTTTTGAAAAAATTTTATTTTTATAAAAAAAAAATCTTTTCCTTTTTATTACATTATTTGTATTTCTGAAAAAATTATCATTTTTCAAAAAAAAAACCATAAATATTTTATGAATCATCACAACACATTACTGTCTAAATATAATTATGTACGAAGCTTAACATTATAAAAAGGTTATATATAACTAAAAAAAATGACAAGATAATTATCATATTTTAGAGAGTTTTTTTTTTTTAAAAAAAAATAGATAGAAATGGCAAATTACCGAAATAATAAAAATATATATCCCATATCCCAATAAGGTGCCTTATTTGAGTCTATTTTTTTTAAAACGGTCCTATTAAGAGTTTTAGCCAAAAATAATATTATAGTGCGCACAAATTGAACGTTTCAAAGCAGCGTTTCAAAACGCAAATAAAAACAACGTAAACGCAAGCTATGTTTAAATTGAACTGTTTTAATTTTTATTTATTTTTTAATATGAAACGTCTAAATTTAAAACAAAAATAAAATACTGTCCAATTTAAAAGAATACATTAAAAATGCATTATTTGCGTTTTGAAACGCTGAGTTGAAACGTGCAATTTAGCACTATTATGTAAAGTCTGAGATTTTTGCTCACAGGTGGTAGATTGGACCTCTTATTTGCCAAATTTTGAGGTTTTCCTATCATTCTACCCCAAATCGGGCCATTTATCAACATCACTTAATTTTGAATTCGCGGGGAATTTGGAATTTAATCTTATTTTAAAATCATTTTACTTGAGGGAAATTTTCTTAAATCATAAATTATTATCTTATTTGACCTGAAATGTTATTTCAGAGCACGTATAAAATAATAACTATTTGTAATTTATTTCAGATAATTTCCGTTAGAACTTTATGTGTATATATCATTTTAATTTATATTTTTTAAAAATCGATATAAAAATTTATGTAAATTTGTGAAGTGGTTCTAAAATTCACAGCGAAATAAATTTCACAATGTAAGTTTTCTACATATTCTGGAATACATTTCCAATCTTTAAAAAATCGTCCATTTTAAATGAGCTTAAAATGGAGGGATTCCCCTATGGATTCAATATCCCAATACGACATATATATTTGATTAAACTTTAAAATTTGTTTAAATGATTTGATTGAGAAGCAATAAAATCGAAACAATAAAATCGTGGCCATATTTAATATGAATAAAAAAGACCCCAAGGATTCTTGGGTTTTTTGACCGTGTCCTGGTTAGTCTTAAGTCCTGGACTATTTTATTTTATATGTAGACTAAATCTAAATAGCCTCTTTTTAAAAAAAAAAAAATTATGTTCGAGGAAGCTAGATAGACCGACTAAAACAGATTTCTGTTTAGAAAATAAAACAAGATGGGCACCACGGCCATACAATTTATTTAAAATTATTGGGTAATTCTTTATATTACTGACGTTTGACTTTTAGGGACTAACATTGGCGTCCCGATTTTGCCAGAAAAAATCAGCCCAGTTTAAGTTCGGATATTTAAAAGTATTTTGATGCACGGCCATGGCTTAAAATATTCTAATAAAATAACATTGAAAATGCTGTTTTCTTTTTCTTTTACCAAAATAAAATGATAATTGGAATTTATAGTGTGATAAAGACAAAGCGATTTGTGATTATTACTTCAGTCATCTTCATAAAAAAAATGCTTTAATTTTCATATTCATTTTAATTTGATATTCCAGGTCGGGCCACGCTCAAGCTTAAATATTTATAAAAATTTTCTAGTCGGGTTCAAGTAAGTTGAATTTTCAGGGTTCTATTTCCCGTAATCCCTAGTCGCCTCCACCCCATAAAATATTTCCGATTTGAGCATAACCTTTGAACCAATAAAATCAACTCATTAAAGATATACCAATTTTTTAGGATAAAAAAGTTGATTAAGCCATTTTAGAATAGGATAAAATTAGGCTGATGACACAGTTTTTCCTATTCAACTAAATTTCAGTAATGGTTTATTTCTAAGAGAAGAGTATGTATAATAGAATTTATATTAAACGCGAATGTGGGATTGAAAAAACCTTAAGTAAACAATTATCCTTGTATGCCTAAAAAGAAATAAAGAAAGAAAGAAAGAAAGAAAGAAAGAAAGAAAGAAAGAAAGAAAGAAAGAAAGAAAGAAAGAAAGAAAGAAAGAAAGAAAGAAAGAAAGAAAGAAAGAAAGAAAGAAAGAAAGAAAGAAAGAAAGAAAGAAAGAAAGAAAGAAAGAAAGAAAGAAAGAAAGAAAGAAAGAAAGAAAGAAAGAAAGAAAGAAAGAAAGAAAGAAAGAAAAGAAAAGAAAGAAAAGAAAAGAAAAGAAAAGAAAAGAAAAGAAAAGAAAAGAAAAGAAAAGAAAAGAAAAGAAAAGAAAAGAAAAGAAAAGAAAAGAAAAGAAAAGAAAAGAAAAGAAAAGAAAAGAAATATTTTATTTAGGCAAAGTTTATGACAACTTAATCCCAAATTCTGTTTGAATTGTTATTGTAATCGCGTGACAATATTAATCATTATATTGTCTTCATTTTTTTTTTGATTTATGATATTTGTGTTAATTAATTTTTATATATTTTTTTTCTTTTAAATCCCCCATTTTATTAAAAATCAGCTGTATAGAAAAGATAAAAAAAAATTATCCCCTTTTTTTGCAATTAAAAAACAATATATACAAAATCAATAAAAAAAAATTCATTATATCAAAGGTAACCATAAACGTGGCCAAGATGGCGAAAGTGTGTAGGAAATCTGCCTATGGAAGTAAAAATTATATCTCTACAATTCCCCTTCTCCCCCAATAAATACTGAATATCATATTTCATTAAAATACAATTAAGATTTGTCACGTGTCATGGTATTCAAAAAAAATAATTTATAGCGTGAGGGTGGGGGGGGGGCGAGGAGGTACAATCCAAATCACTTTTTAAGAAGAATCTGGCTAAGTACATAAATATAATCTCTTTAAGACATAATGCCCTTCTTGTATTATTGCATAGCATTTTAATTCTGTAAAAATGTAATGCAACATTCCACATATGAGCTGTGGATTCGAATTTTACACGTGATTAGTAGATAAAAGTGATTCGTTAATTATTGGCCAGATCCAAATAATATCAGGTGATATTGAACTATTCAGGGTCCTCTAGCACATATTTGGGTACGAATTAATCGAGTTAAAGATACATCCAGATGGACTCCTTCTTACCCATCATTCATAGTTAGGAATTCACGGCGAATTATACAAAATAAGATGTTGTATTCGAATTTCGCGCAAACCGTGAATGAGTAATCACTATCCATTCACAGTACGAAGTCGGGACGAAGACAAAAAATGTTATATTTTGTGTGTATTTTATATATTTCGCCTCGAGATCGCTTTAACTGTGAAAGCCTATTTATACTTAAAATATATTAGTATCAGAGATGCCTCCGCGTTATTTACTTAGGGAGAGTTGAGGGTATAGACAAAACACTGATCTCCTTTTATTTTAATTTATTGTATCTAACATTATTTATTTTTTCCTTAATATCAATCATCATTCCTGAACTTAAATCTTTTTATTTCTCATCATTTCAAATTTCACGAATTGCAAAAAATTGCAGGTTTTGGAATGATTACCTTCAAGTTTAGAATAAATATTTTACAAGGTTTTTAAAAATGATCGCTTTATTAAGACAAAAAAAAATGTTATATATTAAAAATATAATAAAACTTTATACAAGATTTAATACAGTTTTGAGCTTTGAGTTCCCCAGAAATCTTATAATTTGCAAACCTTCCGGTTATAACGTTTCCCGCTTTTAATTTTTATAAATACCGGGTCCTTGAGGAAACACTAAAGTTGGAGCGGGTTATAATTTTAGTATCTTATAATGATAAATGATAATCAATCATTTTAAAGATGGATTACAATAGAAATGCAGGAGATGGAGATCTTACCATTAATTTAAGCATTGAAAAAAAAAGAATAATATATATATATATGTATAAACATTCCATCACCGATAAAAAAATAATAATTATCTTAAAAATTTATTCGTTAATAGCTTAAATATCTTTTAGAATTCACTATCAAAAAGAACCAACCCATTATTATCTAACAGGATCAAAATTTCCATAAAATAAAATGATAGTAATTTCCTACCCAACAATTCAAATAAAAATTTAATATATAGGCTTGTATCACGAGATTATATTTTGGTGGCAACATAGGCGCCTTCAGGGTGGTGGTGAAGAATGATTCCCCCTCTTCGGTAAATCGCCCGTTCTGTTAAATAACATTTTAAACTATTAAACACCCCCCCCCCCAACCCCCTACATATACTCCTTTTCCCCCTAAAAAAAATATATGTTATAATATATCATAAACAAGAATCTGAAAGAAAAATTAGTAAAAGTTAATTATTTTCGAAATAAATCCTGTCTACCACTCAACGTGGGTGACTGACCAAAATCATTCTTCATTAAATAAAGTGTTAAAAATAAAAGTCAATTAAACTTTAAAACGTATAATTTGATAGTCGAAGAATTGGGGTTAAAAAGATCCCAACCTTCATTTTTTTCGAGTGTTTTTCCGACTTAACTCCTCGGTAGCATATTGGATCCAGTTTGAAATAATCTGGACATACTTAACACATTATAAATAAAAAAAAATTAGTTTTTTATTTTACTTCATTTCCACTGCAACAGAACATAAGAAAATGGAACCTTCCGAATTAAATAATCTTTGTATACTTTTTTTTTGTGTGAGTTTGTGGTTTTTCTAAATGGATTTTTCGCGAATATATAAACCAATTCCCAAAAATTTGATGAAAATGTAAAATCGTAAAAGTATATAAAAAAAAATCTATACTTTTTAATTAGAAAAACAAAGGAGGATAAAAGTTTTTTTTTGAAAAAAAAAACGGGAGGGGTTTTTTAAAGCCTTTCTAACTCAAATTTTTAATTTCTTTCATTAATATCCTATTTATAATTATTGATTTTCCCCTCTCCCCTATTATTTTTATTTATTATACCATTTTTATTTTTATAATAAAAAATTTACAAAAATTTTTTCTTCTGATTTATTTTTTTATTTTTAAATATTTTAAAAATTAAAATAATGCGAAACTGAAACTGAAACTTAATATGAAAGAATAATTGATAACTGTAGAGTCAATCAATATACCTTTTTTTTAAAAAAGGAATAATATTTGTCAATAAGGCAGGTAGAGAGGTAATAGCGACCCGATATTAAGCCTAGACTTGTTTTTATTTATATTTACAATTTATTTTTAAGATGATAATTCAAATTGATGAAACCTATATCAAAATTATCATAAAAGGTTCAATTATAAGATGAGATACTAAATAAAATTACTGATCATCTGCCACTTCGCGTTTATGTTTAAAAAAAAGCGCAGTTTACGTTTGGTAGGAGATCAATTCCCAATTCCCAATTACTTACTTTTAATTAATCTTACACACTTCTTCATGGACCTATAACTAGTGTTGTTAAACGGTTCGATTTGAGCCGATTTTTAAAAAAGGCTAACTTATTATTTTATCTAGAATAATATTACGCAAGCCTGAAGATTTTGCTCATAGATGGCACGAAGGTCTAGACATCAATTAGCGAAATCTCGAGACTTAGGCAAATTTTTCTGGCTAAAATATTGAATTAGCCGTTTGGCAAACTGTTCTACAACCCCCCCCCCCCACATTCCGCTTATGTAAACACAGGGTCCAGGTGCGAATGTGTTGTAAGTGATCGATCATGGAAAAGGTAATAAAATTTATAGGTTTTGTATTAAATATAAAATAGAAATATGTGTTTCATATGAATCACCTTCTGACAATTTTAACAGATTTAAGGTTATTGACAGGGATTCAATCACTTTATTGGAGTTTCCATTTAATGCTATTCTGATAATAATTAGCCTATAGAAATTTTCACAACAAAAAAGCAGAACTGCGAAATATTCCATCTAGTTACCTTCAAAAATATTTATATTAGGCATATTCTTCGTTTTTAAACTCCATTTTTCTTTCCTTCCTAGATGTTAAAAATCAAAATCTTCTTAGAAGTTACCCTTAACCCTTAACATCAATTTCCCTTAGTTAAATTGGAACCAGCTTTCGAATCGGTTATTTCTCCCTCTCAATTAGGCATCTGTGTCAGCCTTCCATTCATCCCGTCGTTATTGCGAGGAGATTATCCATAAGCTTGTGAAGGTATGAGATTAACTAAAGCTGCCTGTAATATATGGAGGCAACAATCTACGGCAGAAAGATTTCTCTTTTGTCTAACTTTAGATTGGTGGGTAATAACATTGAAGACATTCCCATTCTCAATTACTTGGGACTCGGGTCAAGATTGGCTAAAGCAGTTTCAAGTACCTGGTCTGTGGTTGAAAGATGAGTTGAGGGTGACAACAGGGTATAGACTAGTTCGCGACACATGTCTACCTATATGAATGATGTGGGAAAGAGTCCGATCCTAAAGGTAGATCTGCTGGCACAGCTTACCTGTGTTCTAAAGGGCGGTTCAGTTGCCATAGTGCAATTATTGATAAGCTCAAATAAATTGGGTTTGACTAACTGTCCAAATTACCTTGAACCCGTTTATCTATCCCTGTATCCTCACAATTAATATCCCTTGGTTGAAATTATTAAGTCTCCCATTTCTTCTATAACCTAAACATTTATCTTATTATAATAGCTGGAAGGCTAATAAATTACAAAGTAACTTTCAATTCATCACATTAGTTATTTCTACCTTGATGCTTAAGTCTCCTAAACAACAAATTGTTTTTAATATTTTAGGTAAAAAAAAAAATCTGAGATATTAAGAATTGTAGATCAAATTTACAATAAGACCAAATAACTGTGCTCCGACGCAACTATCTAAGCTTTCTATGAACTCAATGGCGACCTTCTTTTTATTTTTATTTATATTTATTTTTTAAAATAATATATAGATTTTTTTATTGAACATTTATTTCAGAGTATATTATTTCCAATGACATACAATAATTCCCAAAGTATTTCGAAACGTCGTTCTATACAAATTTTTAGGCTGGTGTCACATCATTTTGGTTTCACGTCATTTTGGTGTCGTCCCATATAATTCATATTATTATTATTATAAATAATACTACTGATTTTTTCATAAAAATTTAAATATAAATATTTTATACGAGGAAACCAAAAATGGAGTGCCAACAGCTGATTTATATTGGCAAACATTTATATGAAAGAATACACAGTTTAGGTATTGTTATATGCCATTCGATTATCATTTACAAAAAAATATGCCCGTTTTGGAAGTTAGCCAACATTTAAAAAAAAAATTAAGTTCTTCAAAACAATTGTTGTTCCAACCTTAGCATAGCTGATATCTCTAAATTTTATTCGTCTATTTATTATCACATGACCTGTTAAATTTTAAAAAAAATATTTATAATTTGTTAAGAAACATTTTGAAATATCTTAACCTTAACCCATATCTTTCAAACCTTTAATAAATACTAGCCAGCAGCCCTTTAACCTTTAATACGACCCCTTACTTTAGGTAGTTATTTATCCTTAAATTTATTTCACCCAATTAAAAACTATCTGCAGTTGAACATTCCTTGAGTTGAATTTTCTTCTTTTTTTTTACTATGCTAAAAATAAATAAATAACGTATCATGTTAAATTGATTCTCGATAAAGACTTCTGTTGATTTAAAAAAAGATTATTTTAATGATTAAGAGGAAGAGTAAATTTTTTTAGAAATAAAAAGACTGTATTTTATTTAGAAGATTTTTTACGCAAGCCTGAAGATTTTGGACATAAATGGCACAAAGGTTTGGAAGCGAGATCTCTAGCCTTAAGGAAATATTTTTTCTGCCTAAAATATTGAGTAAGTCATTTTAATAATCGGCTCAAATCGAACGGTTTAACAACATTAAAGATTTCGAAAGAAAGAAAGAAAAGAAAGAAAGAGAAGAAAGAAAGAAAGAAAGAAAGAAAGAAAGAAAGAAAGGAAGGAAGAAAGAAAGAAAGAAAGAAAGATAATAAATAAATAAATAAATAAATAAAAATCCCTTATTTTTGAGTTGGAAACAAAAATAACTTTTTTATTTCCCATTATTTTTATTTTATAAAAAGTATATGCTGCTAATATATTTTTATTGAAATTTTTCCATTATCACAATCATCCTTAGATTATAAATTACCAATATTATTCTAATTTTGGCTAATTCTTTATCATCATAATCATTTTAAAACAACTCACTCATTTTGCTTAATTTGTGATTATTAGAAAAAATCTAACCTTTTAATTTTCAGATAATTTTTGAATCACATATTTTAAAATTTCGTTAAAATGATATATAGGCTAGAAATTTGTCAAAATAGGTGCGGCCTGTATGGGCGCCGGGCTGACTCTATTTAAAAAAAAATTTTTTATAGTTCGGGCTGAGTTGGGCCTAATATTTTTCGGGTTTAAGTTCGGGCCGGGCCGGATAAATATTTTATTACGGGCCGTGGAGGGCTCACAAAGTTAAACCCGATGCGACCACTTTTAGATTGTTTTTAAAACTATTTTCCCACTTTTTTTTTCCTTTTGGAGGTTAAGGTGACAGCAACATTTCAATCTTTTTTTAATTTAAAGAATGGTTACATTGCACCACTGGGTGTGTCAATATTATAATCAGAGACCAGGTTTTTTATTGGTTGATGACTATTTTATTGTAATTTTTTAGATATGAGAGGCCCTATATCTTGAATTATTTGCGTAACTCCAGAGATTTAAACGACTTTCTTAAGGTGTTTATTCTCCAGGTTTATGTTAGTTCCAAATATGATAATTTAACAGGTTTACATACAGATAATCTAATAGCAATTCATATAATTTGACAAAATTTGGATAGTTTTCATACAGAAATTTTATATTTGGCACTGAATGGTATATTGTCTTGTAATAAAATATGGATATCATGTTTGATCTATCGCACAAGTCCTGACATTGAGGTAAATAGTTTGCGCGATTTTCTTTTGTCAAAAACTTGTTCGTAAGCCTTTGTACTTTGTAGATTTATGAAAAAGAATTTTTATCTTCCTTAAACAAAACAAAAGAAGCAATTTTGTAGGTCTTTGTTTTAGTTTTTACGCCTTCAGTGTTTCACGCTTTCGATCAATTGTTCCCTTCAACGATTTGACATTCATAATTCTTCGCGTTATCGATATTATACCCTTTTCCGCATTTCAAAATTTTTAACCATTCACTATGAGGTCTAACTGAAAATTGTGTTAATTAAGATTTTATAGCTTAACGTTTGCTTCTATATTCCAAATTTTCTATTTAAAAATAAATATATACATATATCAAACTGTCGAAAAAATATATATATTATGCATATGGGATAGAATATAGATAATAATCATCTAAGTTAGACTTTAATATTTAAAAAAAATATATAAAAAGGCAAGTTAACACTATATTAAATTTTTTTAGTTATTATTTATAAAAATATATATTATTTCCCCTGGTATTCTTCAACCCCCCCTCCTCATCCATTTAATGACAATGTATTCAATTTTTTTCCCCTCTTAAAATGGCTATGGGAAAATTATGAAATCGACCTTGCCAAAAAAATTTTTATATGGAATTCATAAAAAAAAATTTTTAATATAAAGTATTGTGAGTTTTGTTTTAAATTAGTATAACATATTTATTTAAAACCAACGATAATTATGGAACATATTATTATACCTAATAAATAT